TTTCGTGTTTAACACTGAAATTAGCCCGTGACGAGTGGCATGCAATATATTCCGAGGGGCACACATATTTTCAACTTGTGCCGGTCATAACATCATGTGTGCCGAGGGGCACACATATTTCGAAGGCATGGAGACCAGAACACATGTGTGCCTAGGGGCACACGTACACAATTACTGTGGCGACCGGCTGGAGGTTGTGATGACCGTCACAGTCCTCTGATGCAGTTTCTTCCATTTTCTGCTACAAAGTTACACATTTTCTGTCATTTCTTCCTCTTTTCTTATGCAAGCCTTGTGAAATGTAAATACCTAAAATGAAATAGAAATACCAGCATAACAAGATAAAATGAATGAAAAATAATATAAAAGTGTATGTGAATCAAGTCGAATATGCGATATAATTTCGCGTTATCAAATACCCCTACACTTAAATCATTGCTTGTCCTCAAGCAATCGACCAACACGGTAAAAGAAATGATTAAGCTTGATTTGAAACAAGGGCACAACACAACTCCTAATCATACGCGGATGCTAGGCTAATGTTAGAATGATAGGTACTAAATGCCCAGTACCAAGGACACTGTAACGACACAATATTCAAAGACTCTCTCTTTAAGCAAACTAATTCGAATCATATCATTATAACTCAACCTATATCTCTCATTTTTATTTCATTCTATTCATTCAAGCACAAATACCTGATCATATGATATCACCACTTCACATCTTATAAACAACAATAATCGCAACGGAGCATCAATAACATACAACATTTACCGCATCAATACAATAACTTCATTATGCAATCGTGCAATGCGACTCAATACTATGAAAATGCATGTGGTACCATTGAGAAGAACTCCCATCTTAAAATGATTGCCAATAAATAGAGGCATTTAATAAGGCATAAGCCTTCATCTCAATATTCGCCAATACATTCCATCTTAACGAGCATCAGCTCCATCTTGATATGCAATGTATGAGACACCATCATGAATGTAGTAACAACAATCACCACTAACAACATCTCAACATGAATCATCGTTGGCCAGAAGCCTACAACTTAATAACTTCCAATTATTAGAGGCATCTCAATATCATTCATCAACATAATTCATCAACATAATTCCACAGCAACTCAGCCATAACAATAATACAATGACAGGTCGACAATCCCTCAATGTTGGCCATAGGCCTACAACATGATAATACCCATAATTAATTAATCATCTAATGTTTATCTCTAATTATCAAACCTCTACATATTATCCTACTACAATACTACATCATTATTATTATTAATCTTACTATTATGAACAAAGCATTAATCTAAGATCGTCTTATCCTCATCATACTTCACGAAATCATCATAGCGATTTAACGTAGGAAGCTAACTCTATCCTAATTTGGATGCTATGATTATTCTTATTATCCTTCATCTTAATCCTTGTGAATAAAGTTCATCACGTTAGCTATCCAATGCTTCAAACGACACCTCAAACGGAGCCCGGAAACTCAAGTTACAACCTTTGGAAAAATCTGTCAAAAATTGGATTGCATGAGTCAACGCGTACTGGGTCTGGAATCCTGCATGAGTTGACGCGTAATCCTCTTGTGTCGACTCATACTGAGTCTGAAACACTGCATGTGTCGATGCATGATCCTTCGTATCGACTCATCCCGAGTCTTAAATCCTACATGTGTCGACGCATGACCTTTGAGATCGACTCATACTGATCTGTGCTGAATATATTCTGCGATTTCACTGCATTTTCACTGCGATTTCTCTGCCCTAGGTCCTAAAAACATCATCTAATTATAGGTAATCATCACTTATGATAATCCTATATTTCTACATCAATTGTATATTATTAGGACATCATTATTCATCTCTAAAATCATTGATTCCTCATCAAACAACAATATATATATATATATATATATATATATATATATATATATATATATATATATATATATATATATATATATATATATATATATATATATATATATATATATATATATATATATATATATATATATATATATATATATATATATATATATATATATATATATATATATATATATATATATATATATATATATATATATATATATCACAAACAAAACAATTTCTTTCAAATCCAATCTCATATACTACTCATCACATACCCTATTATAGAGCCGGAACCTCATCCTTACCTTGGATTGAAGGTTGCTCTACAATTTTCCGATTGAATTTTGTTTTGCCTCTTTTCCTTCTTTTCTGCAACTTCCACGTTCTCTTTCTCTCTTCCAACCCTTATTCCTTTTCTTCTTACTATTACTTCTTTTTTCTTATTATTTCTAAATAACTAATATCATAACCCTATAATTCTCATTATGTCTTAATGGGCTTAAACTCCTACACCCCCCTTTCTACTACTTCTAATCATTAAAAATAAGCCCACGTCAAATAATAGTATTATTCTAATATTATTCTTTAACATAATCGAATAAATTAATCCAAATAACAACAACACATCATCTATCATCATAACACAACTTCACCAATAATCCAAAAATAATTTAATTAAATAATTAATTAAATTACGGGCGTTACATGAAGACTAAAGACTGACTCTGCTTCTGATGTTTTTAGTTTAATGGTTTCTGCTGATTTGTATTGTTTTAGCCTTTGAGTTATGATTTTGTTTTATGTATGTACAAAGGTTATGTAAAATAGTTTTAGCCAAAATAAGTCAAAGGAGGAGATTGTTAATTCTCTGAATTATGTGATTGACATTATGTTTGGTAAAATTAATATAGCAGCAATATGTTAGATGGGATGTATTAACTTGCTAACAGGAACAGGTTAAGCAAGAAGTCATATCTTATGTTGAGACATGTTGAGTTGAAGTACTTCAACATCTGGAGCAACATGTCGGATCAGATGTCCTATAAAGGAGCATACGGCATATCGCCTAAGCTGAAGTGGACAGTTAGATTCTGTTATTATTTAACTGATGCAAAATATTCAGAGAATATTATGTTATCTTATGTTGCGCTAAATTACAGGTCAAGAAGAATCAAATCAGGACATTAAAGATTATGCAGTTTCTAAATATGGAAATAAACTAGGAAACTAATGATTGAAGACTTTGTTTGTAGCAGAAGTTTATGCTGATTTGTAACAACTGATGTGTTGTGATTGAAGGCCTAAATCTAGTTGGGATATAGGTTATAAATAGAAGCTTTGTAACTTAGGATTTGCACCAGCCAAGAATTGAAAAGATGTAATCATTAGAGTTAAGTATGTACCACTCTCTAGGAGAGTTGGTTGTGTAATCCACTCGTGTTGTGAGTAGGATTTTTTTAGAGTTTTAGTCTCTATTATTGTTCTCCTCGAAGTTTTTAAGCAAGAGGTAGTATTGTTCTTGGAAGAAGCTTTTAAGTAACTCTAAGTATTGTTCTTGATCAAAACTGTGAAGCAAGATCAAGTATGTTGTTCTTAATTAAGGGGTGCCTTGATTAAGGGGTTTGTCTGTATTTTAAGTGTGATCTTCATTTGGGTGAAAGGTCGTCGATACAGTAACTGAGACTGAGATTGTTAGACATCGTTGTGGTGATTGGAAGTGAGTGGGTATACTCATATCTAGGAGTTCCTAGGTAGAAGTTGTATTGAGTAAGGATTAAGTGATAAGTTGTAAATGGAAGAGTTTAGCTTTGAATTAGTACTATTGATAGTGGATTTCCTTCATGGCTTGGTAGCCTCCAGAGTAGGTGTTGTTGTCACCGAACTGGATTAACAATTCTTGTGTTGTTTATGCTTTTCAGTACTGTTTTACATTGTTTATGCTTTGCCATGTTGTTTCTGTCAGAACAGATGTCTCGACATTCTATAGGACATCTGAATTTTGACCTATCAGAATTTCAATTGTCATTAAAAGCAAATCAAACAACTCATCACACTTAATTGTCATTAAATTATTCAATAAAAATATTATAAAATATTTTAATTTATTTAACTACGGTTATGAAATTCCACAGTTAACTTTGAAAACATTATGATATTTTATTTGTTATTATCATTCACTTAAAGTATTAATTGCATGACAACAAATAGTAATAAATATTATTTCTATTAATTGATAAAATATTTCAAATATGCATATTTGAAAATATTCTAAAGACGAAAATATTGTGTTATTTCGGATATGCATATCCGAAAACTCTCTAAAAATAAAATATTAGACTATTTCAGATATGCATATCCGAAAACATCGTTAAAAAACTAAAATTTGATGCATTCGGATATACACGTCTGAATTCTGAAGATACTTTTGATTTTTATCAAAGACCTGCAAGAAGAATACTAAGTATACAAAGAAATTTTCGATTTTATTTGCTCACAACTCTCTCTCTCTCTCACATGAAAGGATTGACGACGAAAAACACTATTACACCAACAATTATCCTAAAACCCTCGTCAAACTAGTATCATACTAAACTAAACAATACAGCACCCAATGAGATCTCGTGAACACCTTAAGTTCCACTCTAAGAATACACATAATCAAAGTATGCGGTTGAATAAAGACCATTATATGACATAATGAGTAATAATTTGACACATGCCCTACAAGAAAGGTTTTAGATCCATTGAAACATTAAAAATCATCTGTAAAAAGATGACAAACGTCTAAGTCAAGATGCACACTTTCTAAAACCTAAAAATAGAGATACCACGCACAATGTTGGTCAGAACATCGATAAACAATTAACTATTGGAGCTCACTATCTCACCAAAAGAATTAAATCTGATACTAAATTTCATTAGGTCCGCACCTAATCACTAACCATTAACCAATATTATGCATAATCACATAAATACACTTTTCCACCACCATTTCATACAATTCAACTTTGTTTCTTAATCGTGCACCTAGCATTTTTCAAGATATTGTAATGTCACACACATTGATTCGTTTTGATCATATATATATATACATAGGATGGGAGCCCCTTTTTGCCCCATCTCTTATTCAACAAACCTATTTACATATCTAGACCTAGAAGATATGAACTACCTAGTAAACTGGACATCTACTTTATTTATTCAACTTATACAACTCCACCACCATGTCTATACACACATATTTCCATTTCCAATCACATTAAGCTCAACTCTTCATTCAATATCTTGATCACATCATTCCCTCTTTGCCTCACATTCTTCATTCTTTGCAAATCTTCCACGGATTCTTGGTTGACTATCAGCTAGAGCCTTCCTACAAGCATACTGAAAACCAACCAAAACCATCATTTCAGTTCTGAATCTGTTTATAGTCTCAAAATACCATCAAAAATAACTTAGTTGCATAAACATTTAACCATCCAAACAATTTTCAAGGCTTTTCTCTATTCATGTCACATGTTATAGAAATTTGTAAACTTAGTCACCTTGATTTTCCTCCCAAAATTCCTTTTTGTCTTCTTGTTCCTGTATCGGGAGAGCTTTTGTAAGCGCTCCTCGCTGTTGCAAAAAAAGGGCCTCTCTCGGGAAGATTGGACCGTGTTCATATTATTACCGTTGCCAAGAGTCTGCCAAAAAGACAAAATCATTACATTTTTTCGCAGGTTTATTCACCAAAGGAATGGAAATGCATAACAATGCATGACCTTCAAACCTTCTCAAACTATTATCTATATAGCTTCAATAGAAGCTGCTTAACTTCATGGTGATTTGACTAAATTTATGATAAGCATAATAATACGACAGTTAAGTTATTATACCTTTATATCTCCTTCACTAAATGATCTCCGCATGCCATAAACCGCGTCAAAATCTATTCCCGGGACACCAAGGAAAGCAGGTTTCATTGCAGATCCATGCATCCAATCCATCGAACTTAAACTTCCTGAGCTGACGCTCTTCGGTAATAATGCCATATCAGGAAGTGGCTTGTTCTCTTGAACTGTATTCTCATTGATGTTCTGTAGTGGAGCATTAATTTCCAGAATCTCAGAGAGTGGTGACTCCATTGCTGTCTTTTCAAGTAGATCCTTCTCGCATTCATAGAATACATCATTGAGAAGCTGTTCGTTTTGAAGAATAGAAATATCTGTGGATTTTATATCTTCGTCACAAGATATCATTGAGATGGTTGCTGTCATGGGATCCAGATCAATCTCTGACTCTTCAATAATCGGCTCCGGTGCTTTGAACAAATCTCCTTCAGCCGCAAAATCATACTCGTACATCGCAGAAAACTGAACAATGTCACTCTGCATTAAAGACATATCCATAAACAAAAAAAAAAAGTGATCAAAAGATGTAATAAAAATAATGTTAGCTTTAGAATATAAAAAACAGAAAAAGATGTTCCATAATCACTTCTATGTTGGTAAAACCAATAGTAAAAAGTGTACAACAACACAGTTTATGTTAGTTTATATCCAATAGTCAATTGTAGTAATCTGTTTTGCGAGCAATCAATGTTTGTATCCAAGTTGAGATATATATAAACCTGCTCACAATTTCTGTCGACATGTTTAACTTTAATGCCAAGAAGTGGCTCTTAGATCGGATTCCTGAATCCTGAGATAAACGATGTCAACGAATTCATGATGATATTTGCATGATTCCATCAACTGTGGTTCATAAAGCAACTACTATATAAAGATAAGAAAAAGAAAAAACAAGTGGGAAGGAGAGAAAGAGAGAATCTATGTGTGATAGTGAGGTGACAGGAAAAGCATGTCGGTAAAAAGTCCTGAGAAAATGCATTCAGAAAATTTCAAGCACAATCTAAGAATTATGTAAATTCTCAGGTCTTGGGATTTGACTCAGCCATTTATCATCAAAACAGTAGATATTGCAAGTTAAATGATAAAAGATAAAAAAAAGAAAGGGATTTTTTAGTTTTTTTTATCTCAATACAAACAAACAAAAAGGCACAAAAACCATATTCATAATGTTTAGCATAAGCTTTGCATGAATGAAAGGTATCAATAGTAGGAGATCTTATGTAAGATCAGTCGGCTTCTGAGAAATCAAACACATGAAAATCATAATACAGCCCAAACACGTCTTTTTTACTATCTTGCTTTAAAAAGCTCGATCTTGACTATGCTGACGACGAAAACGATCTTTCTCTAATCGCTGTACTCTCAGGCATCCTTGACATGTAAGATCACTCGACTTGACTACACTGATCATTATTAATAATACTTTCCCCTTTTCCATTAAAAAAAAGCAACCTAGCTTATAAGCATCTTGTTGAAGAATAAATAAATGTACACGTATCAAAATACTTAAGCTGAAAAGGCTTAAAATCCTAACTATGTGAATAATTTAAGTTTGTGCTACAAGAAGCATCATTCTAAATTCCTACACTCAAGGTGGATACTCTTCCTTGACCAAAATAAGAAGGTGGATCAGTCAAGGCACTAAATTCCTAGCCTCAAAAACATCATTTCAATTTCCCAATAATGACTTTTATCATTAATTAATCTAACAGGAGCATAAATAGAAACAACCTTTCTACAACTGTCTATATTTAGTGCCGACAATACCAAATAGAAATGATTGAGCCAAGCATTAACAAACCCTTTTTTAATTTATGTCCTTATTTTAAAGAAGTTAAGAGAATCAAAAGCCTTTTCCACTTTTAATCTCCTTTAGTGCAGCACAAATAAAAAAGACAAATCCCACTAAGAATTCACACTTCACACTATTAGAAACTCATAAACAATTGAAACGAATATTTCCCTTTTATGCTCATTTTTCTTTCCAATTCTCATGCTTTTTCAGATCTAACACATGAACACAAATCAAGCTGTTTTCACTTGTGCTACTATTAAGAGAAAAACATTCAGAAATGAAAGTTCAAAACAGCTTGATCTTATATTATCAATCAATGAAACAAGGAAACTAAAAATTAGAAAACAGCAAAACCAAAGTCTGAAGTTTCAAAATTTATTGAATATAAAGAAAAACCCATAAAAAAAATACAAAGATATAGAAACAAGAAGGTACCATTGAAGCATTGAACTTGTGAGTTTTGCAGTAGTCTTCAAGTTGATGAAGCTCTTGAGAGAAATTGTGCAAATATGGCCATGGGAAAAGAAGACCATTCTCTCTATACATTTTTTGCAACACAGACACAAAGTAAATTTTGGGATGTTACAAATTATGTTGGCAAGAGAAGTTTGGAAGAGTGATGTAACAGATGTAAGATGAGGACAGAGTAGGAAACTGACGACACAATGTTGTTGTCAAGAACTTTATAAGGAAAATATCGAAAGGTTTTGTAGTATTATTATAATTGCAAATTGCGGAGATAGATGAATTGAATATGGTAAATATGAGTGGAATGATGGTGCCACTCAGTACTTCAAGTCACAAATACTGTTGTTTTGAGTTTTTGTAATTATTATCACTTTCACTAGGAAATTAAAAAAATATATATATTAAAAGATTTATACATTAAGTTTAATTAATCTATGAATTAATAAAAATATATTGATAGTATAAAGTATTTTTATACAAATACATAAAGAAGATATTTTTATATTGATAATAAATTATAACCATTAATTCTTAAATTATATTTGACTTTTATTTTAATTATATATATCTTAAAAGTAAAATTATTAACTATTTGATGATACTGAATGAACTGAATGCATATGAGAGAGGTGATACAAAATCTTCTTGTATTGATAGAATGCGTTCGTTACATTAATGAGTGATTATCCGTTTGTATTTATACAAGCTAGCATAAAGAAAGTTAATTACATTTTCTAACTTCTTCAACTAACTATCTAACCAACTAAGTAACTTGGCTAACAAGTTTTTCAAAAATAGTATAACTACTTTTGGTTATGATTACTCTAATACCTCTCTCCCCCAGAAAAACTCATGTAGATGGAAGAGAATCAACTTTGAGTTTGAACCTGAATTCATGAAATAACTTGAATAATTGAGGTTTGGTTAGAACACCTGATATATGTGCATAGTCAGGAACATGTTGAATGTGTAGCTTGCTCGCAACCACTCTTTCCCACACAAAATGAATGTATAACTCTAAATGTTTTGTCCTAGCATGAAGAATTTGATTAGGAGAGAGCGCGACAATAATGAGGTTATCACATAGGAGAGTAGGTGTAAGATAATTGACATGGAGTTCTATCAAAACTGACTCAAGCCACAGAATCTCAGAAGTTGTGTGAGCCAATACCCGATACTCTTCCTTCATGTTTGATCTTGTCACAAGGGATATTTTCTTTGAACTCCAAGAAATCAAGTTAGGGCTAAAGTAAACACAAGATCCTACATTTGATCTCTGATCATTAGGATCACTAATCTAAATCACTATAGGCCCTTAGAGAAAATTGATGAAGAGGATTAGTTGGTGAAATGATCAAACCATGAGTGACTCTCCCACTTAAGTATCTTAGAATTCTTTTGACCACACTCTAGTGAGTCTCAAGAGGATTAGACATGAGTTGGCATGCTTTATTGACACAAAATACAATGTCGAATAAATTAAGTGTAACATACTCCAATATCCCAACTGTGGACCTGTAGAGAGCTAGATCTGCTAGAGTATCAGTGCAATGTTTACTTATTTTGCACTTATAAAACATTATTGTACTAACTCCATCAACATCCACCATGTTCACTTTGGACAACAGATCTTTGATGTACTTAGTTTGTGTCAAGAGCAAGGAACCATTAGACTTGTAGTTGTAATGCACTTACATGCCAATGAAATATCTAGGAATGCCAAGAATCTTTAGTGCAAATTTATCATGAAGCTTAGTGATGGGAGCATGGATCATTTTAGAAGAAGCACCAGTGATAAGTATATCATCAACATAAACTAATGCATATAAGGTAGTGTCTTTATGTTTGTATACAAAGAGTGAATAATCACATTTACTGGATGAAAAACCAAACTGAATTAAGGCTTGTTGGAACTTCTCATACTATGCCCTTGAAGCCTTCTTAAGTCGATAAAAGAACTTTTTAGCTTGTAAATCAGATTTGAATTAGAGATGATAAAGCCATGTGGTTGATGCATATAGACTTTCTCTTAACGATCACCATTAAGGAAAGCACTATTAATGTCAATTTGTTGAATCTCCCACTTGTATGTCATGGCCAAAGGATAAGATAACTCTACTGGTGGTAGGTTTC